AGTCGACACTGGCCGGCGGATGGAATTCAGAGGAGGCCTAATCTGTGGGATCTGATCGGTCTAGTGGAGGTAATTGGAGGTAGCTTTTATTTGTACCTATTATTGTTTATGAATGGAATAAATGTGCAAAGCTGCTTGAAAAATGCTACTATGTAAAAGAAAGGTTCCTATCAGTAATTAATAAAGCTGAGCTGTAAATAACCTCTTCTGGATTAAGTTGCCTGTAAGAAGCTATAAAGATGCATTCTTGTTTTTCCCTTCAATTTCTGGTGATAAATTCTGATATGAGGGATTTTGGCAAAATACGATAATTGAATTTACCCTTATCTATATGACAGTTTTCCCCTAAGCCTACCTCCAAATTAATTTTACATTAACATTTTTCTCACAATGCAAAATTCAACACAGTGCAATTCTTATATTATTATTATGCTGCAAAGAAACACATGAAAAACAATAAAATAAAGCCTATTGTTGGAAACACAGGAGGATAAATAGGAAACTGGAAAGTGGGGAGGGGGGTGGAGGAGGAAACACAATAGATCCTGAAATAAAGCCTGCAAGAGATTAGATTCATATTTGGATGCATCTGACAGAGGCTTGCTACACTCCTTCTTTTGTTAGTAGTAGTTTTAATCTTAAGGATTAAGCCATAATTCCAACTACCTTTTTGCTATTCCTCGTGAGTGAGGGGAAATTTGTCAGATTTTTAAAACAAACAGCATCAGTCATACTAAATTATAATCATCTATTTCTAGGGATTACAACAACAAGAATAAAACCACAACACTAAAATGAGTCAGTTACAAATCGCACAAATGCAATGAGAGGAAAAAGCTGATCTACCGAAACCCGTTATAGCAATACAATAATTGAGCATTTTTCAGCACCAATTTTGGTGAACAGCGCCACTAAGCTTCCACAGCCGCTAGATGGCGGTAGGTCCAAGACCTAAATTTCAAGAAAATAACAGAGCCCTTTCAACCATATCGAGACAAATTACAGAAAAGCTCACACATTCCCCACATAATAGCTGGCCACTGTTGTGTCCCAGGCTAATATTAAAAATAATTACATGCTTCATGTAAAAATAAATGATAGTGCAGTGTGGTGAGGGATAACAGCTTTATTAGCCGGATTTAGGGACCAATGTATTACTCACATTCAGGTTAGGCGATCTGAACAAAATACATTCTAAACTTATTTGAGATCTCTTCTGCAATTCACGGGTTGAACACCCCCCCCTCCTTTTAATTTAACTCTTAAAATGAAAGTCTTGATGCCCCACTAAGCCAGATTTCATGAGCTCTTGACAGCCAACACAGGATTCTGATTGCTGGGTAAATACTTCAAAGGTTTAAATGGTTTACTCTGCAGAGCAGAAACATGTTTTATCAGAATATAGCCTTTCTTGTTTAAAGCTGTCTGATATCCTTGCTTCATTTTTAATACCAAAATAAATTAAAAGTTTGGCAATGGAAAGTTTGACACAGTCATGCTTCATAAAAGCTAAGGAAAATAGCATTGGACCGCTTATAATATGAGGAATGCTTTCTCATTCCCAATTATATATTTCCAATAGATACTTGGAAAGAAGTTACCAAAATAGAAGTACTGATGTGTGTGTGTGTGTGTGTGTGTGTGTGTGTGTGTGTGTGTGTGTGTGTGTGTGTATATGTATGTATGTATATGTATATAT